TTTGTTTTAATGTAGTTCCATGTGAAATTTAAGATTTGTTTTAATTTCTGTGAAGAATTGCATTGGAATTTGATGGGAATTTCATTAAATCTGTAGATTGCTTTTGGCTGTTTTCACAGTAGTAATCCTGCCAATCCATTTCTTTCTTTTTTCTTTTTTTAATTTTTATTTATTTATTTGTTTATTTTTTTCCTATTATCAGCTTGATACAGTACAAATTCTTATCCTAATAGTGAAATGTTTCACTGAAGCTTGCCCAGTAATTGAGTAAAACCAAAACTTATCATAAGTCACAGTCATCCTATGATCCCCCCTGCTATGTAGCCTCTCTGGTTCTGTGGGTATCCACTTATGAGTGAGTACATACCATGTTTGTCCTTCTGGGTTTGGGTTTCCTCACTCAGGATGATATTTTCTAGTTCCTTCCATTTGCCTGCAAGTTGCATGCTGTCATTGTTTTTCTCTGCTGAGTAGTACTCCATTTGTGTATATGTACCACACTTTCTTTATCCATTCTTCAGTTGACAGGCATCTAGGTTGTTTCCAGATTTTCAAGACAGAGAGTTTCTCTGTGTAATTTTGGTACCTGTCCTGGATCTCACTCTGTAGACCAGGCTGGCCTCGAACTCACAGAGATCCGCCTGCCTCTGCCTCCTGAGTGCTGGGATTAAAGGCGTGCACCACCACCACCGCCCGACATGTCGGTGGTTCTTAACATAGTATAAGCTACAAGTGTCCCAGGGCTTACCCTGAAGAATTCTTTGTCTGGGGTGGAGCCCAGGCATAGTTGTGTTGTGTTTTTAGTTGGCTGTCTCATCTACATTAAACTCTTATCACTGTGTCCTTACGTGTAGACTGGGTCTGGCGTATAGTAGGCATTCACTAAGTACTAACCAAATGAATAATCAAATGAAGCCTGTTACATAAAGGATGATTAAAAGGGAGACACAGACATCGAATTTTGTTTGCCTAGTAGAATATTAAAATCAAATGCATATCAAGAAGGTATTCAGGGGTTGGGGATTTAGCTCAGTGGTAGAGCACTTGCCTAACAAGCATAAGGCCCTGGTTTTGATCCTCAGCTCAAAAAAAAAAAAAGGTTTTCAGAACCCCAGAAAATTCAAAACACGATCAAATTCCCTATTTTATCTTGCCATTTGTTGTGAATTTGGATGTTAAATTGGACCTTGTTTCTGCCGAGACCACAAGACCTAGTTCCTTGGCCACATGCAAGGAAACAGTTGCCTGGGGCAGGACCACAGCCAAGTGGCCCATGTGGTCTCATACTTTTGCCTGGGTGCTGTGTGTGTGTGCGTAGGGGGGTGGAAGACAGAAAAGTTCTAGGCTTCATGCTGTGAGACCCATTATCAGGGAGGATGATCTGGCTTCCATTTGGGTCAACAGAGAGGAGGGGAGCAGATACATGTTAGGCAGGCTTCAAGTGAGCTCGTAGCTGTATGGGTGAACCTGCCGCTCCCAGCTCAACAGCCTCTTAGCAACATTGATGGCATAAGGCAGGCAGGAAGGCTAAGGCCAGACACTTGGGACTGTGTCACAGTTGAGGAGGGGTAGGCCCACAGTGCCTGTCTCCACGAGCAGGTCACAGATAATGTTCTTGCCATGTGCTGTGGAACACCAGGTGGGACAGACAATGGTAAGGAAAATCAAGCTGTTTTTGATGTACTTGGGCTGTCTCAGCCAAATAGAAACAGCATTTTGAATTTTTTTTTTTTTTTGAGTTAGAATCTTGTCTATGTAGATCTAAACTCTATGTGGGGGGGAGGGGGAGAGGGAGGGGGAGAGAGAGAAAAGAGCGAGGAGAGGGGGGTGAGAGAGAAGAAGCGTTTAATCCCAGCACTCAAAAGGCAGAGAGGCTGGTAGATCTCTGAGTTTGAGGGCAGCCTGGTGTACAGAGAAAATTCCAGGACGGCCAAGGTTAGGCAGTGAAGGAAACCATGGAAAACAAAAGGCTGGTGAAGGTGTAATTGAACAAGGGGGCCATGTTCCAGCCCCAGCAAGCAGCAGAACTTGGCAGCTTCGGCCACGTGGTTCTGCAGTTAAGGACAGAAGAAAGGGGCTGTGGAATTTGCCTCCATGATTAAGGAAAGCTGCTGAGACCAGGCATGTGTCAGGGGTGTCCCCGAATGGAGGCCCAGAGACGCCATTTCACAAAACTGAAGTTGAAGCCTGGATTGCCTTGGAGACCCCAAGATGTTACTTGCTGAGGATAGCTGCTAACAAGGAAGAGAACTGTCCCAAGAGAGAGAAGTGTGTTGCAGTCAACAAAGCTGAACGGACTTGGAGATATAAAGAGGGTTTTGACATTAGATAAGGAGATGCAGAGTTTGGAGTTTGCCCAGCTGGTTTTCAGTCTTGCTTTGGTCCAGTATTTCCTCACTATGCTCCCTTCCCTGTGTTTGGAATGGTAATGTATATCCTGTGCCATTATATGTTGGAAGTATGTGATCTGCTTTCTGATTTTGATTTTATAGAGGATTACTTTTAAGAGATTGCATGAATCTCAGAAGAGACTTTGAACTTTAGATTTTAAAATATTGTTGAGTCTGTGATAGATTATGGAGAATTTTGAAGTTGGACTAAATGCATTTTTGCATTATAATATGGCTACAAGCCTGTTGTGTGATGTTTTGTGTTCTGACAAATAAGCTTGTAGGAGATCAGAGGGCAGAGCTAGCAACTAGTTAACCATAAAGGCCAGTCAGTGGTGGCACACACTTTTAGTCCCAAGCACTTGGGAAGAGGAAGCAGGAAGATCAGGAGTTGAGAGCCACCCTAGACTACATGAGATTGAACCAGTCTAAAAGAGAAACAAGGCCAGGCAGTGGTGGCCCACGCCTTTAATCCCAGCACTCAGGAGGTAGAGGCAGGTGGATCTCTGAGTGGAGCCAGGGAGTGGAATGTGATGGTTTTAAAGAAAATGGCCCCCAAAGGGAGTGGCACTATTAGGTGGTGTGGCCTTGTTGGAGGAAGTGTGTTACTGTGGGGTGGGCTTTGAGGTCTCCTATGCTTAAGCTACACCCAGTGAGACAGACCACTTCCTCTTGCCTGCAAGTCAAGATGTAGAACTCTCAGCTCCTTCTCCAGCACCACGTTTGCCTGCATGCACCATGATGAAAATGGACTAGCCCCCTGAAAATGTAAGCCACCCCATTAAATGCTTTCCTTCCCAAGAGTTGCCGTGATCATGGTGTCTCTTCACATCAACAGAAACCCTAACTAAGCATACTTGTCCTTTTTGTTCCTCTCAGGATGGCTGTAAACAGCCTCCACTTTTCGGGGACAGGGTCTTTTCTTGAAGGATTTCTGGGATTTTACTGTCAGTCACAGGATGGACTTGTGCAGCCTCCTGAGCCCTCAGGATCACACCCATCTGAGGGAGTCAGGACAGTTTTAAGTTTGTTCCTTCACTTAGCAGACTTCAGCCAGGTAGGGCTGACAACTGGGTCAAGCCCACCCTCTGACCTGCACGTGTCCACACAAAAATAATGTATCCATGGGGTGTGCATGCCATAGCAGACAGGAAGTGAGCTCAGGCATTGGTTTTCTCTTCCAACATGTAGGTTCCAGAAATCAAACTCAGGTTATCAAGCTTGGTATCAAGTGCTTTTACCAACTGAGCTACCTGCCCATCCCTCACCCTCCTAGGTCACATGTGATCCCCACAGACATTTGTGACCTGCACGCCTTGGGTGCTGGGAACTGAGCTGGGGTCCTCTGGAAGGGCACAAGGTGCTCTGAATTGCTGAGCCATCTCTCCTGCCCCAAACCTGTTTTATTCTTTTAATTTTGAGGTTCTAATTACATTGTGTCCCTCCCCTCTCCTCCCACCAAACCCTCCCATACAACGCTCCTTGCTTTGTCTCTTTTTGTTAATTCGTAATCTTTTTTTTTTAAGGCAGAGTTTCAAACTCTAACTAGATACATGCTGTTTATGGGGTTCTGGGGATTGAACCCAGAGCCTTGAACATGCCAAGTGAGTGCTCTCCTAACTGAGCCCCAACCATAACCCTTTGGAACATTTAAAAAAAAAAAAAAAAAAAAAGGTTTTTATTATGTGTATGTCTGTGTGTGGGTATGTTCATATGAGTACAGGTGCCCATGGAGGCCAGTCGAGCGTATGGCATCCCCCTGCAGCTGGCGTTAGTGAAAGGTGACTTTGAGCTGCTTGACATAGTTGCTGGGAACTGAAATCAGGTCCTTTGCAAGAACAGTGCACCCTTAGACATGAAGCAATTGCTCCAGCTCCCGAACATTCCATTTTTTAGACGTGTTCTCCTGACTCAGTGTGTGACCCACCAGAATTAGAAAGCTGCACCGGCCTCTTCTGTGCAACAAGGAGCAAGAGACAAAATGCAATGGCAAATACAGGTGGTTCCCAGGGTGGGGAGGAGCAGTAGAGTGGGTGGTCCAGAGCCTTAGGGAGACCTGGTGAGGACCTCCTTGCACTTAATGCTACAGGATGAAGGACGATCATCCAGAATGAGCTCACCGGGAAAAGATGGGGTCAGTTTCTGTGGAAGAGCAGGCTACCTACAGACCCCTGGTCCCAGCCATGAGACCCTGGAAATGACCTGTTTCCTCCTACCTACATTACTCTAAATTCCTCAGCTCTCAGGCAGTTTTAACTAAGTACACCAGGTGCATTGTGGGTACTTGGTAGACACCACTTCCTTCTTCGTTCACACCAGGTGCATTGTGGGTACTTGGTAGACACCACTTCTTCATAGTAGTGCAACAGAAAATCATTGGCAGGAGGAGGATTTGATCAAATAGGTGTCTAAAGGGTAAAGAAGCCCAGGAACCAGGGTACCAACCAATATATACCAAGGCTATTTGGGAAGTGTGCCACAGGTGCAGTGAGGAACAGGCCCAAGGAACATGAAAACCTGCCAGGGAACAGAGGCCATGGGTTTGGTCAGATGACCATGTGCTGACATAAGAATAGGCCTTTCCAATCTAGTAAAGACACAACAGCCAGGCAGATTTCGACGTTATTTTTAGTTAAAGAAAAAAACAAAACAAAACAGGCTTTCCAAGGGTGACAAAGTTAACTGAAGGTCAGAAGGAAGCTGTGTGGGGGCTTATCATAAGCTCTTCCTCCAAAGCCTGGAAATGAGAACTGACTGGATCGCCAGAGACACTCCTTGTTGGGGTGGGCAGGGCTACCATTGATCAATGGCATGGTCTGTATGGGCTCTTGGGCAACCACCCTGTGCCCACTGACATGATTACCACTATTATTCTGGGGGACGTTAAATTAAGGAATGACACAGGAAGCCGAGACAGTGGCTTGTTCGGTTATTCAGTTGGATTCTGAATCACAATCAGGAAATAGTCTTTATCTGAAAAAGAAAAAACCAGAAAAACAAATCACTAAATATAAACCAGGAGAAAGATAACAGCTCCTTAATCACTAAGCATACAATGCAGGAGGGAAGGAAGCTTTCAGAAGAGGTCGTTCTCCACAGCTGGGAACAGGAGAGAACCTGCAAGTCTTTTTATTGCCTCCTGCCAAGTGACTGCTAGAAAATGGAGTCTTCAATGCAGGGCAGTGGACACTTTGCAACATACTCTTTAATTTTTATGAATAAGTAAGATTTGGGGCTGGAAAGATATAACCTGAGGGTTGATTCCCAGGACTCACATGGTGGAAAGAAACAACCAACTCCTAAGGGTTGTACTGTAATCTCTGCACTTGAGTGTGTGTGCACACATACACACATTAGTATAAATGAGATTTCAATAATATGATTGACAGATGCCTTAGTTTGGTGGTTTTCATCCTGTGAGTCATAACCCCTTCAGATACTTATGATTCATAACAGTAGCAAAATTAGAGTTATGAAGAGCAATGCATTTCATGGCTGGGGTTACCACAACATGAGGAACTGTATTAAAAGGTTTGCAGCATTAGGAAGGTTGAGAATCTCTGCCTTAGTTCATCCTAATAAGCTTATTTGCTGATCTCTACCTTCTACAACATGTGCCCCCCCCCCCAAAAAAAAAAAAACCATTTTGAAAGGTCACAGGAAGCTATTTGCTTCTTTGAAGCATTTTCCAGTGATAGTCTCATGAATCAGACTCTCCATAGAGGTGATAGGGGCAAAGTGCCATCTGTCAAGGAAAAACAGGTGTTTTGATCATGTTTTATATCAGTTTGTTTGTTTATTTTTTGGTACTGAGGATCAAAGCCAGGGTCTTATAAATGCTAGGAAGTGCACTGAGCTATACCCTCAATCCCAAATTCAATTATGGACTTTAGATGCAGGTACTCTGTTCAACACAGCATGTCAATTGAAACTTTGCTGGGCTTAACAGGGGTGCCTCAGATCTGGTGAGGGTTAACAGGGGTGCCTCAGATCTGGTGAGGGTTAACAGGGGTGCCTCAGTTCTGGTGAGGGTGAAGCAGTGTGCAACATGGTTTGAACTGGGATCATGCCATGAAAGCTCTGATTTTTTAAAATTTCATTTTGTGTATATGAGTGCTCTATTTGCATGTACAACTCCATGCCAGAAGAGGGCATCATATCCCACTATAGATGGTTGTGAGCCACCATGTGGTTGCTGGGAATTGAACTCAGGACCTCAGAAAGAGCAGCCAGTGCTCTTAAACGCTGAGCCATCTCTCCAGTCCAAAAGCTCTGATCTTGATGACAAAAGACTGCAGGTTCTACAGGTATACAGTAAGGCCATTAAGTTCTGGACACCTGACTGTGTCTCTGTGCCAGTATTTAAGCTCTGTCATGGATAAGCTTTCTCAGGTGGCACCTAAATGAACCCCAGAATCACTGTAGGCAGGTGCTAGTGGTCTACCATTTTACTAATAAACCCATGACAACTGGATGAGAAGACTGAATAAGTGACTTAACAGTTTTGTAGCTAAGCAGTCTGCACAATAATGAACAAGCTAACAGCAAAACCAACCAATAAAACCAGGCTATCAAGTTCTAAACCCTACAGTACCACATTAAGTACTCTATGGGAGGCAGTGTTGTAATAATTGTACATTTTAAATTTTAGTGTGTGTATGTGCGCGCACACATGCTGTAGTACACAGGGAGAGGTCAGAAGAGTGGTTCTTGCAGGAACTTTTGAAAGTGGTTAACCTACCATGTGGGTTCTAGGACTCACGCTCAGGTGGTCAGGCTTGGGAGCAAGAGCCTTACTGGCTGAGACATCTGGATGGCCAGGGATGTCGTAGTCAAGGTTGTTTGTACTGCATCAAACAGTAAGGTTAAGAAGTCCAACTATGTCAAATACCTTGATTTGTTAAAACGTGAAGAGTTCAACTTTTGGCCCAGGAAGCTGCAAGCAGCCCATTTATGTAAGAAAGAGACTGGACCTCTTCCTTCCTTCACTCCAGTCCCCTCCAAGACTCAGCTAGTCCCAATCCATGCTGGGGCTGCCCCAGGCAATCCTCAGGCATTCTAGCCCTACTGCCTCTGAGGCTCCTGCTCAGAGTTCTTTCTGTATTGACCACATAAAACTGGGTACACAAATCAGTATGCACTACTGATTTTCCTCTGAATACCATGTCCCAGGGGCTGGAGATAGGGCTCAGCGACTAGTTAAGAGTACTTACTGTTCTTAGGAGACTTGCAATTAGTTCCTAGCACTCACAGGGCAGCTCAGGTTATCACTCCAGGTCCCGGGGGATCTGGTGCCCTCTTCTGACCTCCACTGGTACTGCATGCACATACATATTCCCAGGCACACATACACAAACATTTAAATACCATTATCTCAGACATCCTTAACTCTACCCCTCTACTACATCCAGCCTAACCCACAACAGGGGACTATCTGCAATGGGAGGAAATTAAAGCCATATGGGGGGCCAGGCATGGGGGCATATGCCTTTGATCCCAACACTTGGGAGGCAGAGGAAAGTGGACCTCTGAATTCAAGGCTGGCTTGGTCTTCTGAGTGAGTTCCAGAACAGCCAGGGCTATGTAGAGAGACCTTACCTCAAAACAACAAAAGCCACCTGTTCAATGTATTTGTTCAACACTGTCTTACAAGTCCCTGCCCTCATAGAACTTACTGTAGAAAACAGTGGAAATGTAGCTAAGTAGTTGGTTAGCAATAAGGAATGATGGCATGTTCTAACAGAACGGTGTGTGAGAAGGCCCCAGGAAGGGAGATGCAGCAGTTCCCAAGAAACATCACACAACCTTCGGCATAACCTGAGTGTGAGTGTGTGAGATGTGCTGACTATAGCCAGGTCAAGTGCGAGCATGTGTACTCCATGCACCTCTCTGTATGCTGCCCATGTAAGTGTCTGGCCATTATCTCCACTGATGAGACCCCAACGAGAACTCAAGCACCAACTACCCTCAGGGGCTCTGAATGTCCATGGGCCCCAAGGACAGACTGGAGGTGCTACTGAACTGAGCTGAGACCTGCATGATCAGGACTTTCAGACATCTCTGGACCTTTAGGTGGAGAGAGATTGTCTCTACCAAGTGTCTGTCTTCACGGCACTATGTCATCTGTCCTTTACTGAGTTTCTGGGAGTGCCACCGGGCACCTCAAGTCTGCACTGGTCACTATTAAATGGAAAGATGATTCCCAGTACCAGTTTTAGGGCCATGGAGTCCCACAGCAGGAAGCTGTGGTGGGGGTAGACTTTCTATTCAAATTTGATTGTAAGCTTAGCTCTAACCTGATCTTAACATATTCTTCCTGATGTGTCCCAGAGGATCACAACAGCACCTGATTTTTTTGTTTGTTTGTTTTTTGAGACAGGATTTCTCTGTGTAGCCTTGGCTGTCCTGGAACTCACTCTGGTTCAGAGATCCGCCTGTCTCTGCCTCCCGAGTGCTGGGAATAAAGGTGTGCACTGCCACCATCGCCCTGTACCCCAACTCATAATCCCTAAGCACCTCTGCTCGTGGGATCAGATCCACACAGCTGAGTCTGTAGTCTGAGGCCCCTTCTAAGTTGGACCCAGTCTCACTTTTCACACCTTCCTTCATAGATGAACTGTTCTACCACCTGAGGCACCACCATGTAAGACCTCACACATATCCCAGCCATGGCTGAAATGTCCCAGGCTTGGGTGAAAGACAGGGAGAGAGGTAACCACAGAAAAGTAGTCCTGTAGAACCTGCCTGCCACTCTAGTCTGTGAATTTGAGTTAGACGAGGCAGAGCAGGAGGCAACCCCATCCCTCCTCTGCAGTTCCCATCCTTGGCTCCTCCAAGTGTGAGCATCTCATTACATGAGAATGATCCTAAGGCCTAAACACAGGCATGCTTGTACTACCCAGACAAGCTTTTCACTGATGAGTCAAAATAGCAATCTGCTGCAGTGGGAAGTTGGCTGCATGGGTTGGAGACAGGATTATAAATTCTTTTTCATATACAAAGAGCTTTTCCGCCCCTCTGACTCATGTTTTCCTGGCCCTTAAGATTCAGCTCTAACATCCTGCTTCTGAGAAATCTTTGTTGACTGCCCAAGCAGAACTGACCAACCTTTCCACATCCCAAATTCTTATGGGATTCTTCTGTGTCTTTCTCCCTCATGAAACTACACTTCCCATGTGAGGCCTGCTGAAGACTGCTGGTGGACCACCTAATACTGGCTAGGTAGGCAGTGAGGCAACTCGACTCTTTCCAACCCCCTCAGGCCGACCTTGAAGCTGTGGAGATACCAATGTGCCACATTTTCCAGATAAGCCACAGGAAACCTGCTATGGAAACTAAACACAGAGGTGCAAGAACCCTTACCTGGTGCAACCATAATTTCATTTTTCTTGGATCGGATTCGAAGGAAGGTTAGATCATTCTGGGGGTCAATTTCACGCACAGTGCTCCGTGCCTTCAAGATGAAATTGTGCATGAGGTTGGCATATTGTGTAGTAGTGGGATTGTCCATGGTGCTCTTGATGGGAATGCCTGTGGGAGAATAAATGGGAACCAAGCAGTTCACTGGAGCCCCTTTCTGTTCACTATCTCACCTCATCCCTATTCTAGAATATTCGGCTGGCAGTTAACAACCAATGCCACTATTTACAGAGGGCTCGTTATATGATTGGCACAGTGCTGACCTTGTGTGCCAGTGCCAGACCCAGCCTCTGTGGGTGGTATCACCATATCCACTCCACCAGACAAGAGGAGAACTGAATGATGGGGTGACCTGCCTAGAGGTACACAAATGATAGGGATTTAAATGTAGGCCTGGCCCAGTGGTGGTGGTGCACGCCTTCATCCCAGCACTCGTGAGGCAGAGGCAGGCAAATCTGTGAGTTCAAGGCCAGCCCGGGCTACAGAGTGAGCTCCAGGAAAGGCGCCAAAGCTATACACAGAAACCCTGTCTCGAAAAACCAAAAAGAAAAATAAATAAATAAAAAAAAATGTAGGCCTGGTTCAACTTCATACTCCTTTCCTAGAGCTACCCTGCCTGCCTGGGTTCAAGTAATAGAAGGGGAGGTGTTCTTCTGCAACACTTAAAGCTTGGACTCAATTATTACTTGGGAAGTAGAGGCAGGCAGATCTCTGTGGGTTCAAGGCCAGCTAGGTCTACACAGTGAGACCCTGTCTCAAAAAGAAGAGATTGAAAAGGAGGAAGAAAGAAAAGAGGTCAGCTTGTGCCAAGACATACCCGACATGACCCATGATTGTTCTTGGCAGGCTGGCTCAGGGCTCAGCTGTAACCATGTAGCCATGAAGCTGCCTCCCCACTCCAGTGGGTTTCTGTAAGCAAGCAGCATTGCTGTCGTTCAAAGAGCCCACTAGGGGTAGGAGGTACAGTCCAGTGGTACAGAGAGTACTGTGTGTGTCTGAGACCTGGGACCAATACCTAGCACAACACAATGAAACAGAGACAGAGCCCATGAAGTAAGACAGTCCTGACTCCTTAGATTCAACATTCCCCTATTGTTGGATGCTTAGGCTAGGATTTTACTGGTATAATTAACCAGCCAATGACCATCATTGTGTATCAAATCTCTTTTTGAAGATTGAACAATTAAATGGACATTACTAGGTGTCCTGCTGTCAAGGAGGTGAGGAATGTGGCTCAACCTGATGACCACGTTGGGTCAACAGGAGCCTGTGAATTGGCTGTGACCTCTCAGCTCCATCCAAGAGAAGTCCCAAGTTGACTGGCTGACACTGATGAAGACTGTGGTTTAAGTGACTCCTCACATCCAAGTGGCCAGACATAGGCCCAGGACCCTGTGAATCTGGCAACAAGTGACCAGCTTAGAGATTAGCCAAAGGCAGGCATTCAACCTACTTTAGTTAGGGCATCAGGAACATGTGAAGCAGCTGAGCAGGAGAGGCTTTTGTGAGCCAAGTAAAGCCACAAGAATGGGGTACAGTGGTCATTTGCCTTTAAGGGACCAATGCTGGTGCCTCAGTGCTGCTATTGGGTCCTAGATGACAACAATGTGCACATCTGAGCCCTATGAGGCCTCTCTACAGCTGTACCTTTCTGAGGGTGGCAGTATCACTGGTACCTACTATAATCTCTCCACAAGTGGATGATGCTAGAGAAAGGACCCTCAAGTCTGATGACATCCCAGGACCATGCAGTTCTCCTTTAGAGTAGTTCTAATCCCAGCACCACACTATTAGGAAAGCAGACATTTTGCCCATCTCCCTCTAGACATCCGTTCCCTCGGAGCAGGACCGAGCCTCATTTGCTCACTAGCATCTGTGGTTACACATTAAGCATCCACTGATGTTGGTATCTGAGTTGTTTCTGGGGCTTGCTTTCAGTGGTTCAGATAACAGAATGCGTTTGGTTATATATCAAGTAGGCCAATGTAAAGGGGCAAGCAAACTTAACCAATAGTGGCTCCCTCTGAAAAACGAGGAGTTAAGGGAGCAGGAACCAAAATTCAGAAGAATTTCAAACAAGGACAAAATTAAGTCCACATTTAAGGATGACAGAGCTGGGGACCTCACAGATGGCCTACCTAGTTAGTCAACCTAGTTCAGCCCTAGTTCTTCACAAATACTGTGTAGCTTGCAGAAGCAGCTAGTTACTGGGGAAGCTCAATTTCCAGGCATGGTACAATCAGGTGCTCTCAGAGCAAACAAAAACCTGCCCAAGCCGGGCGGTGGTGGCGCACGCCTTTAATCCCAGCACTCGGGAGGCAGAGGCAGGAGGATCTCTTTGAGTTCAAGGCCAGCCTGGCCTACTGAGTGAGTTCCAGGACAGGCTCCAAAGCTACACAGAGAAACCCTGTCTTGAAAAACAAAACAAACAAAAACAAAAAAAACCCAACCCTGCCCAAGACCTTTAATGGGGCTGTGGGTAGAGTCTTTATCTAGCATGTTCAAGGCACTGAGTCTGAGCCCCAGCACTGAAGCAGACGATTTTACCAGACACTGCTGGCTGTCAAGCGCACATTCTGTACTAACCTGGGTGCTGGGAACAGGAGGGCAGACACTTGGGTGTTTACAGTGGAGGGCCTGCACAGTCTACTAGGTACATCACTTCACTACTCCATCTCTTACCCCCACCCCCTTTCGGAGCCCAGGCTCATCAAGCTGTCCTTAACTCACTATGTAGCTGAGGATGACTTTCTTGGGTCACTATCTTCCATGTGCTGGGATTACAGGCTGGTGCCACCAGGCCAAGTGCCTACTTATCTCTCTCAATCTCAACTTCCTCGTTGGTAAAATGGGCTATGGTTTAAAAAAAAAAAAAAAGACTCCTTACCACTGCTCACTCCCCACCTCATTATATCACCTTGACTGACCTACAATCATGATGTGGACCAGAACAGCTTGGAATTTGCTATGGTCGTCCTCTTGAGTACAGACACAGCAGATATACTGCCATGCCACACCTGCTCCTTCTTCTAAAATCTTTATGTATATGTATGTGCTGCATGTGCACATATGGGTACTGTACATGCAGGAGCCTGCGGCGGTTAGAAGAGGGATCAGATCCCCCAACTAGAGTTAGAGGTGGTTCTAAACCACCATGGGTCCTCTGCAACAGCAGCAAGTACTCTAACCGCTGAGCCATCTCTGCAGCCCTGACTGGAGCTTCTTCAGAGATGAGACTCTGAGGTGGTCATGGGAGGAGGGTGACACTGGGAACAGTAGGAGGCGCATTCTAAGTAGAGTGAAAACATGGACTAAGGTCAGAGGATGGACTTAAATGACGGAAGACTGCCAGCTTTAGCCATCTCCTTGGCCTACTCACAACGACAAGCTGTTTTTGCAGCCTCAGCACACTGGGACTCAGTCTGACGCCCTAGTCTGTCAGCTAGCCATCTGTCCACACTGGGTCAGAGGTCAGGAGCGGGCTATGAGGCTCGGCTGGCGCTCTCCCCGCTGTCTTTTGGATCGGTTCATGAACCTCTCTCTAGGCTGGCTCCTCATTTCGGAAGGTGTTAACACTCCATTCTCACAGAGCTGTTCAAGTGTAATGACGACTAGAAACCCATTCTTTTCCACATACTATCAGTGCTGACGTTACCATATTAGTAATGGAAGGAGAATGGCATCTAACGTGTTCAAGTGTGCTTTTTCCTCTAGTAGGCCATCTTGGACCACACTCCTCAGTGTGGAATTTTCAAATCAGGGCTAACGGTACCACCGAGGCTTTTTTCTTTAACAAATCCACTGCTTCAGATCCAGTGCCTGTGCTGGACGGACAGCACGGGTTCCAGTAGTGACGCAGACAAGGTCTTGCCTTCATGGTCCTTTCACAGCTGAACTGCTGATGTCAGCAGCAATGTCCTGGTATATACCTGTCTTCTCCTAGCCCTACAGAATGGTTTATATTATTTTTGTATTTGCTAGCAGGTTAGTTTTAACTTTTGTCTTTTCGGTCTTTCTTTGGTAAATAAGGTTTTGCTGGTGTTTTTGAGACAGGGTCTTACTATGCAGTCCTGGCTAGCCTCGTACTCACTACCTAGAACATGCTGGCTTTTAATTCAGAGATTTGCCTGCCTCTGCCATCTGAGTGCTGAGGTTAAGGGTGTGTGCCACCATGCCTAGCTTTTTGTTTTAAAATTGGTCAGGCTTCTGGATGGTGGTATCAGCAGCTTAAAGCTTCCAGAGTTCTGGGATTACAGGTTGTACTCACTTACCCACTATATTGTTGCTAGGGGTTGAACTCAATGTTCCCTGAGTGTTAGACAAGCACTCTACCAACTGAGCTCCATCCTTAGTCCCAAAGTTGTAGATTTTAAAACAAGAGCTTTAAATGCATGCCAGGCAAGCTGTGTCTACTGATGTTATTAGTGCATTAAGGTTATGGGGAAGACCATTTTCTGCTTACATCTGAGGCCTGCTCCACAAGAGGAAATTCATGCTTGGTTCTATAAATCTGGTCAAAAATGCCTGGCTTGGGAGGTCATAAACCCTAGAGGAGATACTACTATGGTTATTTTGTTAAATGGACATGTTGCCAAACTGCCTTCTAAATATTTATGTTCATACCCACAGATGAGTGCCCCTTTCAGCCTTGGCCAAAGAAACCTTTCTACAGTGGGCCGCACTGCAGATAGCCACAGCTCGTTAAAGTGCTGAGAATGAGTGACTTCTGAGTGCTCAGCCTAACCCCTGCTCAGGGGACATCAGGAAAGAGGGTGAAAAGGCTGGGTGAGCTAGGGAGGGACGAGTCCTGGTAAAATGCTGTCTCCTGGACATGACATGGCCACTGCACTCACCAACTCACTGCCACTCTGGTTCCCACGCAAGTCCAAGCCATTAAGATCAGCCAGCATTCTTGTAGGCGGTGCTAATTAATTAGACTCAGTGGGTTACAAAACAGAACAGAAAAAGAGCACATGAGGATGAGGGGAGACAGCTGAGTGTTGTTGGGAGAGGACACAGCTGGACATGGGTGCGATCAAGACACCCTGAATACATGAAATTGTCAACAATTAAAGATAGTTTAGCCAGGCGCACGCCTTTCATCCCAGCACTCAGGAGGCAGATGCAGGCAGATTCTCTATGAGTTTAAGACTAGCCTGGTTTACCGAGTGGGTTCCAGGACAACCAGGGCTACACAGTGAAGCCTTGCCTCAAAAAACAAAAACAAAACAAAACAAAAAAATTTAAAAAACAAAAAAAGCTCTAAAATGACAGAGTGGTGACCCACACCTGGAATCCTACACTAGCACTTGGAAGGTGGAGGCAGCTTACAGAGCAAGATCAAAGCCAGTTTGGACTCCATGAAACCCTGTCTCAAAACTCTGTGTGTGTGTGTGTGTGTGTGTGTGTGTGTGTGTGTGTGTGTGTGTGTGTGACGGCTCAGTGGGTAAAGGTGCCTGCCATGCAAACATGGTAACCCGTGTTTGCTCCCCAGAGCCACACAAACGTGGGCTAGTGTGCACACACACAAATTAAAATTTAAGAAGAGACAAGTGGTCTGGGAAACACCATGGCCTAGAGGCATGAAGCATGTGGTGGCTGCCTTCAACCTAACAAGGGAACCTGACCAGGTAGACTTGACATAAACAGGTGTCACAGGGGTCAGAAATGAGTGTGAAGTGCTTTACACTGCTCAGTGTGAGTAAATCTCTACAACCATTTACAGAGATAAACAGGTAAGTGAATTGTCAGGCCGTCCTCACAGGTTGGCAGGGAAGCAGGGCAGCTTCTCAGAAAGCACAGCCTTTGCCCTCAGGGCTGCTGGGACCACCATGGCCCACAGACACTCAGGTGCACTCAGACTGACATTTAAATCCTGGCTCTGCAGACGAGAGAGAGAGGATCTGGGTTCGAGTCCCAGCACTCACTTGGTAGCTTACAACCTTCTGTAACTGCAGTTCTAGGGGATCCGACACTGTCTTCTGGCCTCATGCACTGCATACACAATGTGCATACTTACATGCAGGCAAAACACCCTTATTCAGAAAATAAAAAATCTTAGAAAAGATCATGGCTTTGAAATGAATTTCTAAATTCAAGTTTTGTCAATAAATAGACAACAGGGCTGCTTGAAGGGAGAAAAGCACCTGTCCTTGGATTTGGCACACTGCGGCGTTTCCTCCTAGTTCCCCTCACATGCCTCTCGTGCAGGGAGAATCAGCATCCGCATCTTACTAGCCATTCAAGTAAGCTCATTCCCCAAAGACAGAGATGGAGCTCTAGAAAACCCCCAGAGAACTACCCACAAAAAAGCAGAATCAATGCAGATGGATACATGTTATCCCTCCAGTGAGCACACAAGAGTAGCAGCAACATAGATTAATCAACACTGTACTTAGCTGGGCGTAGTGACTCAAGTTTGTAACCCTAGCAAAAACAGACTCAGATTGGATTGCCATAAATTCTAGGCCACCTTGGGCTACACAATGAGTTCCAGGCTAGCCCAAACTACAAAGTAAGATACTGCCTCAAAAATACTAAAAAAATTGTACTGACATTTCAAATCTTTGCTTAAAGGGCTGAAGGAGCAGTTCAATGGTAAAGCACTCACTTAGTGTTAGGCCTGGGTTCAATTCTTAGTGCTAAAAAAAAAAAGGATTTTGCTTATGTGAAATCTGCAAAACAAAACCCCAAGGCAAAGAAATTTAAAAGAGTAACAACAGTCAGGTGTGATGGAAAACACCTTTTTTTGCTATTGTTTTTTTCTGAGACAGTTGTCCTGGAACTATGTAGCCCAGGCTGGCCTCAAACTCCGAGATCCAACCAGCCTCTGCCTCCCAAGTGCTGGGATTAAAGGCGTGCGCCGCTATTCCTGGCTCTGATGGTGCACACTTTAATCCCTCAATCTGTGAGTTTGAGGACAGTGAGACTTTATCTCAAAAAACAAAAGTCTTAGCAGCTTTGAGTATCACATGAGAAATAAGTCTGGTTTTTCACAAGGGCTGAAAAAGCCTGGATTATTGACAGCTGTGAGCTGTCAGTGCAGTGGACCTGAGGAAACATTCTCCTACTTACTAAATTAAGATTTCTAAGACAAGTGGTAAATGCCTATAACTCCAGCACATGGGAGGTGGAAGCAGGAAGATCGTGAGATCCAGGACAACTGAGGTTACGCAGCAAGACCTTCTCTCAGAAAATGGGAAATCCCAAGAAGAGTATCAGAATTTTGGAAATGTTGGAAACAAACAAAACAATCTGGGTTTGTGAAGGGACTGAGGAAGGGCTATGCCATGTGGTGTCAGCTGTGTTCTGGAAGCCTGCCTGGGTGTAGGCCGTGGATCGAGGACCTACCTTCCGTGTTCACCACGATGATTCCCTGAACTCCTTTCTGGCTCTGAAGTCTCTTGAGTGTTTCCTCCACCTCTGCCTGCCAGAAAAGGAGAGCAAGGTTAGCTCTTCAATCCCAGCAGATGAATGACACACTCGTCTAACAAGCAAGGAAGAGCCAGGCATTTGGCGCTGCCCCAAAGCTGCCCAGGCCAGGCCCACGTAGAGTGCTCCTTAGGCCACCACTGAGCATTGCTTCTGGCCCTTTCCCACCAGGCAGTTACCCACTCCCTGCCCATCAGCTATCTGAGAACTGACACACCCAGGACCCACACATATGGTACATTACTCTGATGATTTGAAAAACAAAATAAGAAGGAGGCACTTTGTTATTTGTGGATCAAGCATCAAAAACGAAGAAAATACTGCAAAAGAGCAAAATGACCCCACAAACCTGGTGACTTCATCTGTCATGGCAGACAGGGTAACACTTGGCATACAGGCACAGGAAATGTGTCTTAGGAAGGGGCTTATTAATTCTGATCATCTAGACACTGCACAAGGTGGAATTTGTCAACACAACAGACGGATGTTTAGAGTCTTCCTCTGTCATACGTGATTCTAACTTGTCACTTTGAGACTTTACCTTTCCCTCTACTCTCCATCTGCACAGTCACACCTCTTGTCTATTTTTTGTTGTTTTTAAGACAGGGTCTCTATATAGCCCTAGCTTTCCTGAAACTCACTGTAGATCAGGCTAGCCTCAAACTCAAGGAATGCCTCCCTCTGCCTCCTGGGTACTAGGATTAAAGTGTGCAACACCACACCTGGCTCTCCACCACCCCCTTAAAGAAAAAAGAGGAAACCAAAAAACAAAAACTTACAAGGCTTCTTCTCTAAAGCCCAACAGTCTTCCAGAGCTCCTGAGACATACCTCTTCTCTGAGGCCTATATTCAATGATCTTGCCCCCAACTCTTGAAGCCCTTGACTGTACTGGGAGACTGTATCAGCGACTGTGTCCAACTGCTCAGTCTCTACAGTGCTCAGCAGAGTAGGCGTCCATGAACAGAAGCCTAATTGATCTTTCTCTCCCCATGGCTGGGAACCCAGTCTTGAAGTATGCTTTTTCTCAGGGTGCTGCCTCCAGTTCAGAATCTAGTTAAGCTCTTCAAAGGCAGAGAGTTGGGCCTGGCATGTGAATCTCCACGAGTTCAAAGCCTGGTCTATATACCTTGTCTCCAAAAAAAAAAAAACAAAAAACAAAAAACAAAAAACACACAAAACAAAACAAAACAAAAAAAGCAGATGGTCTTTGAAAACAGAGGTACTATTCACAGAAAGAATGGCTCCCTGTTTCCTGGGACAAGGGCTGGGGCTGGGCGCTCCTGGACAACTGAAGGCCGCACAATGGATTGTTCTCGGGAAAGCATTGTCTGACAATCCAGTCACCACCAGCCACTTCCTGTAAGAACAGTGCCAGATGCTGCAGGGATGGGAGAGGCTCCTCCTACAAGGTGGCAAGCAGCCTGATGTCGCTAGAATCTAGAAGCTGTGTAGAGGGCAGGGCTGGCTCTGTGGAGGAGAGTACAGGGTGACATGCATGTCTGAGGTCCGGGCCATTTCAGACTTTTTCTGACCTCCTCCTAGGTGCTAGGTGCTGTTCTGGATATGAAGGGGAACACTATAGGTAGGTCCCAGTCACCTACTGGAATCCTACGGAAATCCATCCTATGGAAACAACCCCAAAGACAAAAGGAACGGGACAAGATGTCTGCTGCAGAAGCCAACAAGAGAAATGCCCAGTAATCAGGAAAGGGCCAAGAAAGACACAAACATCACGGCCAGTGATGGTTCTTTCCCGTTGAGAGATGAGGCCATGAAACCACCTCCAAAATTGGAGATTGATATTCCACAAAAACAAAACGCAAAAAGTGTTCCCCAGGTGCTACAACTTCCTAGAAACAACAAGAAATCTTGAGATTAGGAAAACAAAGTCATACAGAACATGGAATTATAGATTGGGTTTATTTTCCTTTTTCAAAACAGTTATTTTTGCTGGCCAATGTGGGTCCCACATATAAACCCCTGCATCTGAAAGCCAGAGGCAGGAAAAAAAAATGAATAAACATCTAGTCAGCCAATTGTGGTGCTGTAGGCCTGTAATTCCAGCACTTGGGAAGTAAAAGCATAAGAAAGACCAGAGGTTTAAATAAAGGTCAGTATTAGCTATGTAGCAAATTTAGGATTAGCTTGGGTCACATGAAATACTGTCTCAAAAAAGATAAATAAAAATACTGACAAAACCTTCACCTATGTATCTTTTTTTTTTAAATTCTACTACTACGCGCACACAGCACACACACACACACACCACACACACACACACACACACACACACAATTTACTTGGGGCTGCGGAAATAGCTCAGCATCAAGAGCACTTCTGCTCTCCCAGAGGACCTGGGCTCAGTTCCTAGCACCACATGGCAGCTCACAACTGTCTGTAACTCCAGTTCCAGGAGATTCATCAAACTCTTCTGGCCTCCTTGGGCACTAGACCCACATGTGATGCTCATACACACAAGCAGGAAAACACAAATGTTTGCTCCATTCCCTCTGAGAGGTCTCTATGGGGGCTTGACACACTATCTTTTTGTTTGTTTTTCTATGCAGCCCTGGCTGGCCTAGGACTCCCTCTGTTGGCCAGGCTGGCCTTGAACTCACAGAGCTCCACCTGCCTCCGCCTTCCCCCAGCAACACACTCAACATCTTAAGAATATGTAACCTGTATGTGGTAGCTTGAATTAGAGCGGCCTCCACAGGCTCCTATGTGTGAATGTGCGGCCCCGTTGGTGAAACTGTTTTGAGAGTATTGGGAGGTGTCGTCTTGTGGGAAGAAGTGTGTAACTAGGGCAGGCTTTGAGGTTTCAAAAGACTCAGGCCATTCCCAGTCTCTGCTCCAAGGTGCAGGAAAAATGGGAGCTCTCAGCTGCCCCTGCCCCATGCCTTTGCTGGGCCATCACAGGTCTCTCACCCTCTGAAAGCACAGCCCAGGTGGAACACCATCTTTTATAAGCTGCTGTAGTTAGCTGAGTCCTTGGTTCCCAGTTGTGAACTGCTGGGAAGGATTAAGAAGTGTGAACTTACAAAAAGGTGTGAACTTGTTGGAGAGGGTGTGTCACTGCAGGTGGGCTTCGAGATTTCAAAAGCCTGTGCTAAGCCCTCTGTCTGTCTGTCTGTCTGTCTGTCTGTCTGTCTGTCTCTGCTTGCTCAAGGCCTGTGGATCAGGACTTAATGCTCCCAGCTACTGCTCTAGCACCATGCCTGTCTGCTTCCTGCCATGATGACAGCAGACTCACCCTCTGAAACTGCAAGCCAGCCCCAGTTAGCCTTTCTTTCATGAGTTGCCATGCTCATGGTGTTTCTTCAGGAACTAGAAGATAACTAAGACAGTCCAGGCAGGCCTCCAACTTGTGGCCTTCCTTCTGCCCCAGCCATATGTTTCACTTCTGTGGAGACAGGGCCTAATCCTGCAGCCTGCTTCAATCTCTAAGATTCGTTTGTTTGAGTCTGTGTACATATGTGTGCACAGTTGCCTGCAGAGGACCAAAGACAGCGCAGGCCCCTTGGAGCTGTCCGGAGTTAAAGGTATCTGTGAACTGCCCAACAAGGTGCTGGTATCCAAAGATTAGTCCTCATGACTGAGCAGCAAGTACTTTTACCCACTGAGCCCATGTCTCTATTACCCCCGATTAAGCTAAATCATGGGAAAGAAATGTACTCTCTGCAAGGGTGAAGAGGAGACGAGTCAGGCATTCTCTATTGGATGTATGTCCATCAATGAAGCTCCAGGGTTTGTGGGGTCTGGTGCCACCACACTCAGTAGCTTACCATTTAGGAAGATCCATGGGCTCAGGCCAGCCTGAGCTACATAGTGAATTTAAGTTCTGTCTGAGTTACGTAAGGAGTGTGTTTAAAAAAAAAAGGTAGATAATGTAGTTCAGTGGTAGAACATTTTCCCAGCAAGCATGAGACCTTGAGTTTCATCCACAGTATAACAAAATTTAACAGAAAACAAATAACTTTAAAAACATTACATAAAATGATTAAGGAAAACAAGAAGTATCCAATAAGAGGTAGAAACAATTCTAAGATAAATTATAAACACTTTGTAAATGAATGAAAAGTCATAGCAATACAGCACTATTTTAATGCTGGTCTCATTAACGCAAAGCTCTTGAGGTCAATAACCTCATGGGAAAGCTATACAATACAGTGTAAGAACTCTAAATACTGGTCTTTTGCCTCAACTTTGAAAAGTATTATTATAAGGAAATAATCTAATGAATGTAAAAACAAACAAAAATTATAGACCACAGCATTGACTTTGAGTTAAGGACTGGACTTAAGCTTGTACTCCAGTGAAATAGTTTGCCAAATTCTAGTTCAGCCGTGGCTAGGCATGGTGGTGTACACATTTAATCCCAGCACTCAGGTGTCAGAAGCAGTAAGTCTTTGTGGGTTCAAAGCTGGCCTGGCCTCTATTGGACAGCTAGTGCTCCACACTGAGACCCTGTCAACACACACACACACACACACACACACACACAAACACACACACACACTTTACCAAATATTATATAGTAAATTAAAATAATTTATCATAAAGATGATGTAACAACATGATTAAATACTTTTGGACATTAAATAAAAGCCAAACATGAACATCCTGAAAGATACACATGTGAAAAAAAGAGGAGGAAAAGGGGAAAACAGCTCCATGGTAGACTAGCAGTTCCTACCAATCTAGACTGTCCTGCAGGAACACTGGGAGGGGTGTCCAAGACCAGGGCAGTTACCACAGCACTGTCTGCAGAGGAAACTGTAAACTAAGTGTATATATGGACACAGGGCACTATGCAGCCTTAACATGAAGTGGGTTTGGAAAAGTGTGTGTGTGTGTGTGTGTGTGTGTGTGTGTGTGTGTGTGTGTGTGT